GCTCCATCCCAAACTTTGCAACCATATTCTCGATGTAGTTCTGCAAACGAATCCTGTACACTCCATCTTTTCGCTGCACCTCCATTCCGAGAAAGTGTCGAACTTCACCAAGGCATGTGAGTTCGAACTCTTCCTTCAGAGAATCGAATAGTCGTTTGACTTCTCGTTCGTCAGTTGATCCAATCAACATGTCGTCAACATAAACAAGTAGGAACACTCGAATTGTACCTACAGTCTTCACATACAGGCACGGATCAGCGCCTGATGGTTTGAATCCTCGCTTCGATAAGGCTTCGTTCAGTCTTCGATGCCAGCAACGTGCTGACTGCCGCAGACCATAAATACTTCGCTTAAGCCTGCAAACATAATCCTCCTTTCCGGGTACTGCACATCCAGTGGGCTGCCGCATCAGAATCTCCTCATCCAATGACCCGTAGAGATACGCGGTCTTCACGTCAAGATGACGGACAACCATGTTCTGCTTTGATGCCAATGCAAGAAACGTTCGCATTGTGGCCTGGCGTGTAACTGGAGCGAATACCTGGTCGAAATCGATCCCATGCTGCTGTGTGTCCCCCTGGGCGACTAGTCTGGCTTTGTATTTCACGACTTCATCCTGCTCGTTGCGTTTGACCTTGAACACCCACTTTGACCCCACTATCTTGCGTCCTTGGGGAGGTGGAACAAGCTCCCAGGTCTCATTACGTCGATGAGAGGCAAGCTCATCCTCCATCGCACTCCGCCATTCGGGTATCTTCACAGCTTCTCGGAAGTTTGAAGGTTCTTCTACTGCACATGCCGCGACACCTACGGCGTAATCCAACACATAGTCATCAAAACGCTTTGGCACTGCTCCACGGTTCTGCCGACTCGATCGGCGTGACGTAGCTGGAACATCTCCATTTTCTTCATCAGCTTCGTAGAATTCCTCACTATCAGCTGACTCCGCATCGCTTTTGTCCTTCTTCTCCTTGAAAGGCAGCAGCTTGATTTCATCCTCGTCGTTCTCCTCAGGACCACTGGATGCAGGACACTCCACTGAAATCGTGCCATTGCCAAGCTCGATGAACCTGGCGTCTCGGCTCACAGTTATCCGATCCGTCTCATGGTCTACGAAACGGTAACCTTTATGCTCCATAGAGTAGCCCACAAACGTAAGCTTTCGCGCCTTGCCTTCCATTTTCCCTCGCTTCGCCTCTGGAATGTGTACGAAAGCATCGCTGCCAAACACTTTCAGGTGACCTACTTCGGGCTTACGATTCCACCACAGCTCGTATGGCGTTTTCTGGACGGATCTGGACGGTAGACGGTTCTGCAAATAGGTTGCGGTAAGCGTCGCCTCACCCCAGAAGCGCTTCTCAAGGCCAGAGTCGAGTAGCATACAGGTGGCCATCTCGGTGAGTGACCTGTTTTTACGCTCAGCCACGCCGTTCTGTTGTGGCGAATAGGGGGTGGTGAATTGTGGTTTGATCCCTTCCACGCGGTAGAAGTTTCGCAGCTGATTGTTGTCGAATTCTCCGCCTCCATCAGAGCGGATAACCTTCGGCTTCCGGCCGTGCAGGGTTTCAACCCATCGAACATACTCCTTGATGCTCTCAGCTGCTTCCCACTTGTTCTTCAGGAGGTACGTCACCGTAAATCGACTGTAGTCATCGATGATGTTCATTACATATCGGTTGCCGCTCGGGGTGGCGGTGTTCATCGGGCCACACAGGTCGGTGTGCACGATGTCCAGGATTCCAGTCGATTTCCGCTCGGTGACGGCAGGAAAGGGAGGCCGAGCTAATTTCCCCTCCATACAACATTCACATGTAATTCTCAAACCACAATCGCTTACCTTCATACCTATTGCAAGGTTCTCCTTCACAATGCGCTCTGTCGCAGCCCAATCACGGTGGCCGAAGCGCCGATGCCACTGGTGCTGACAGTTCTCCCGATGCTGTTCGGTGGTTACCTTGAGTGAAGTCTCCGCAAGCCTCAGTCGGTACAGGCCTCCGTAACGACTACCAGATGCCACAACGACTCCCTTTGGATCCACGATCCTGCACTTTTCGTCGTCGAAACTCACGTTCAATTTCTTCTGTGCCAGCTTAGCAACTGAAATCAAACTGGTCGACAGACCGGGCACAAACTTCACTTCACTTATGTATATCTTCATTACATCGTCTTCACCGTCTACACCGTAGAGAACACCACAGCCTTCACCTTGGATCTGCGTTTTCTTCCCATCCGCCAAGGTGATCCATCCACCAGCGAACTCCTTCAGCGACGTGAAGAACGAGCGGTCGTTCGTCATATGCGCACTCGCACCGCTGTCGATGATCCAGCACGCATTTTTGTTCCCAACAGTGAACGCAACATATTTGTTATCACCGTGGGCGGCCTTCGCTTTAGCACTTTCTTTTTCTTCTCTTCTGTATCTCGGTGCACTTTCACTGTCTTTCTTCGACGCCAACAGTTTTCTACAGTTGCGCCGGATATGGCCGGGCTTCTTACAGAAGTGGCACACTCGCTTCTCGCCATAAACACTTTCCGCGGAACGCATCGCTTTCTCACTTTTCGAGGCACTACCACTACCACCTTCCCGTTCCAGCCGCCGATGGTACTCGTCCATCAGCCTGGATTTGACGACATCCAACGAAATGTCATCATCTGATCGACTGTCGAGAGCCGTAACAAGATTGTCGAACGATGGAGGAAGGCTTCGCAAAAACATACAAATCTTCGTGTCTTTGTCTAATTCCGTTCCGGCTGCGTCAAGCCGCTCGAAAAGATCGTCCACTTCAAGCAAATGCTGCTCGAGATCACCGCGATCCGGCATATTCATCGCACACAGTTTCTTCAAGAGAGAAACACGAACCGAGCGAGTGGCCTTCTGGTGGTAATCTTTTAACGCATTGAACGCATCACGGGCATACACACTTCTCTTCACCAGCGACAGCTGGCTGTCTTCCAGCATCAACATCAACGTAGCTTTTGCTCGTCGGTCGGCAGTTTTCCACTTCTCACTTTTCTCCTCCGGAATTTCTTCGGCAACTGCGTGCCACACATCTTCACGGGAAAGCAGATTCTCCAGGCGGACTTTCCACGTCTGCCAGTTTGTGCCATTCAATTTGGCAATGGTGAACCGCGGGTCAACCATTTTTCCACAAACTATTCACTTTTTCTGCTTGAACAAGTTTTGTTTACGTTTTCCCTCACAGACCGTTCGCGATAGCACACTTCTTTTTCTTCACCTCTTCGTTACACTCGAGGCGGAACACAAATCAAAATGGCTCTACACAGCAAAAAAAAATGTAATATCGATCAACGTAATTCAAGCTGATGTATGAAATAATGATGTAATAGCAAAAAGCAGATACAATATTACATCAATGGATGTAATTTTGTTCGCAAAATCGATGTACATCGTACAATGTGATATTACACAACCGATGGATTGACCTGGTTGCAGCAGTTTCGATGTAATATTCAACAACTTTTTTTGCTGTGTACCCGGCCAAAGATTTTCCCGGACAAAAAAAAAACTTTTTCACACCGATTCCGCTGGGCCCATAACCTGACGGCAAGTCTCAATTATACAGTGAAGAGTCAGCGTAGGGAATCGGATGTAAAAATAAAATGCACTCGCGGTTACACAGATTGTAAACTATATTACAGATCACGAATATAAAAGTGGTAAAAATGTACTTGACGGTCGATTGTTCGATCGGAGAATGATTACCTTTGTTGACACACACACATCTGCTGCGCGAGGGATCGACAGCATAGCAGGGGGTTCGGACTGGGTGTGACTACCAAGGTGAATGGATAAAGGTGAACATTGTATTTCTCCACAAATTTATGGTTCGCGTTTATGCGGGATGTCTTCGCTATAACAGTAATTCAAATGGATTTCATTTTATTTTAGAGATATTAAATGTTTCCGTGTAAATACCGCCCAGCCCTGTCGATCACATCTGCATCGACGAGCCCCTTGCGCAACTGTCAAACTGCGCGCCTCCTTCTATCGAAATCTTTCAGCAAAAGAATCGTTCAGTGCTAACATTTGAAAACGGCACAAAAGCCATTTGTAAACAAATGGTTTGTGGGCCCTTTACTCACTACTTGAAGTACACCCACGCGACACAACAGCAACACCGGGTAGGGGAAATTTTCCCCTTCCTGACGATGCTGTTGGTTTGGGTGGGCGTTCTTCGGGTAGCGAGTAAAGGGCCCACAAACCATTTGTTTACAAATGGCTTTTGCGCCGTTTTCAAATGTTAGCACTGCGTTGTCATCATTTTGAAGTACTGTACAAAGCACCGAAGAGAAAAGACGCAATAAAAGTTGAGTGAAGTCGAATTTGTATTTCGGTCCGTTTTCAAGTTTTCTTTTGATTCGAATTGCCTGTGTTTCTTGCCGGTCCAGTACAAGGTTCAAACATTGGTCCTTCTTCGTCTGATATAGTGAATCGCGATGGAAAAGTTAGTGAAAATTCGTAACGCACAAATGGTGCAATTGGTCGGGGAGCTGACAGCAGCCGGGAAACTCGCTGGGTGGAAGGCTTCCTACAGCGAGGCAACGGAACGGCTCGACCAGCTCAAGGAACTTGCTGGAAATTTCCGGAAAACAAACAAGCATCGAGGAGCTCCTTGACGACCCGGAAACAGTTGCCTCGGTGCACAATTTTCGTGAAGAATTTAACGGTGCCTACTAGGCGAAAGACATCCTCGAGATATACATCGCGGACAACAATCCGGATGATGTGAGTTCCACATCCAGTGGCAAAACGATCGTCGGCATCGACCTCCGAGAGGCGATGAAAATGCTACTCATCACTCAACGCGCCTTGCTGGAAGGGCAGCGGGTGGCAAGCTCCGCGAACAACAACTAACCAAACTTCGATCCAGCAGCGGGGGATCGATCAACCTGCCGACGTTCAGTGGTAATCGGAAGAGCTGGAGGTCATTCAAGGACATTTTTAAATCGACCGGAACGATCTGAAGGATTCTATCAAGATGCAATATCTTGTGCCCTACCTCGACGGCAGTGCGAAGCAGCTGGTAAGTTCGTTCCCGATTTCCGACGCGAACTACCAGGATGCGTGGGAGGCGCTCACGAACCACTACGATAAGAAAAAATATACTCTTATTCGTGAGTTCATGGACCAGCCGGCGGTGTCCACCGCCACATCCGGAAGTCTACGCAAGCTCGTCACTACTTCTGATGAGGTGGTGCGACAATTGAACGCGCTTGGTGAGGATTATGGCACACGGGATCCGTGGCTTATCTACTTCCTACTGGAAAAGCTGGATAAGGAAAGCCGATCAATGTGGGCGCAGCAAATCATCGAAGAAAAGAACCCTTCCTTTGACGATTTCATCAAGTTCCTGGACAACCGATGCGATGCGCTGGAAACTTGCACAGCGTTTACGAAGAAGATAACAACGGAAGCAGTCAAGAAGGAGCCGTCGAAGAAACTAGCAAGTGAGAAGAGGATGCAGTCGCTGCACACAGCTGCAGTAGGAGAAAAGTGCGCGAAATGCTCCAATGAGCATCCGTTATTTCAGTGCAGTGAATTCAAAGAGATGAACATTCAGTGCAGGCGCGAACTAGTGAAGAACACGAGATTGTGCTTTAATTGTCTTAGGGCATCGCACACCGCGAAGTTTTGTAGTTCTAAATCAGTGTGCCGGAATGAAAACTGTAAGTAGCGGCATCACACACTGCTATGTGAACTGAAAAGTGAAGATGGAAAAAAGAAACCAGTGGAAAACAGTGATTCAGACCAGCAACAAGCGGGTGAAGCGGCCATAACCTCAATGGTGGCGCAGGTACCGCTGGAGCCACAGCAGAAGTCGGTCGTGCTACCTACTGCTGTCATCCGTGAACAGGGATTCGACGGCGGTCTTCTGCAAGTGCGTGCTCTGATCGACTCGGACTCTGAAGCATCATTGATCTCGGAAGTCTGCGTCAAGAAGCTCGGTCTGTCTTGCTCCAACGGAAAGGTAACGGCAGCCGGAACAACGCGTGGCCTTGTAAAGCTGGTGATGGCTAACCGGTTTATCGACGTGTGTGTTTTGCAGACAAGTGCCTACGTTCTGGGGAAGCTCACCTCGACGCTTCCTACACAGCACTGCAGGGTTCATTCAAGCCTCCTGGATAAGCAGCTAAAGGAGAACCTCGCTGATCCGGCATACTATCAGCCGGGTCCGATCGATATCATTTTGGGATCTGATGTCTTTCTTGCTCTCCTCAAGCCAGGGCAAGTCAAAAACAACGGTGGTGTTCCTGTGGCACAGAACACGATCTTCGGGTGGATTGTGTCCGGGAATCAAGCCATCTACTCATCGAGTCTTCGAAGCAACGTCTCGATCGTCAATCTTCACACAGAGCTGGACCTCAACCGCACCTTGCGGATGTTTTGGGAGCAGGAGGAGGTTCCGAAGCCACAACAGCTTACTCCTTCTGCACAAGCAGCCACCGAGCTCTTTAGGTCTACTCTTACACGGGATGAAAATGGGCGCTTCATCGTGCGACTGCTGTTCGATGATTCGAAGCCAGCGCTGGGTGAGTCCCTCACTTCGGCCACTAAGCGATTGCGATCGATGAAAAGACGTTTCCGACAGGATGAGGAATTCCATTCGCTGTACTCGGAGTTCCTCAGCGAATACCTGGCGCAGGGGCACATGGAAGAGGTGCCACCAGACGAACTGGAAGTAGAGACTAGCAAGTGTTTCTACCTTCCCCACCATGCCGTCGTCAAGGCCGAAAGCACGACGACTAAGTTGCGGGTGGTCTTCGACGCCTCGTGCGCGTCGTCGACTGGCGTTTCGCTCAACGACAGACTCCTCGGTGTTTCTACGTTTCCTAACCCATCCGGTAGCGTTTTCAGCGGACGTAGAGAAAATGTATCGCCAGGACTACCTGAGGATCGTGTTTCGTGAATCGGAGGATCAACCAATCAAACATTATCGGTTGTGCACCGTGACTTACGAAACCAAGTGCGCTCCGTACTTAGCGCTCGAAGCCATGAAGCAAGTAGCCCGCGAGTACAATCAAGTGTATCCCGAAGCCGTGCAGAGGATTGAGCTCGACACCTACGTCGACGATTTTCTGTTTGGCGCGCAGACCACCGTTCAGCAAGCGAGGAAATTCAAGGAGCAAGTTGTGGAGATTTTGGAGTCCGCTGGTTTCCACCTGCGGAAATGGACCACTAACTGTTCGGAACTACTCCAGGAAGCACCTGAGGACGATCAAGCGCCGGTCGATGTGAAACTAGCAGAGCAACTAGACGCAGTCAAGGCACTCGGCATTCAGTGGTTACCCAAGGAGGACACATTTTCATTCAAGGTCAGCTTGAACCCGAACAGCGTGAACACCAAACGGCAGCTTCTTTCTGATTCCTGCAAGCTATTCGATCCGTTCGGATGGCTCTCACCTGTAACCGTCAGAGTCAAGATTTTGTTCCAGCAACTTTGGCTTACTGATCTCGCGTGGGACGATTGGCTGCCTCCAGCAGTCGAACCAGCGTGACTTGAAATCAAGGAAACTCTACATCAAGTGGAGCAGATACGCATCGCTCGATTCGCACCCAACTACAATGGGAAGATCGAATTGCATGGATTCGCGGATGCGTCGGAGATGGCGTACGCTGCGGTAGTGTATGCTAGAGGAAGGAACGAAGCTGGCGACATAGTCGTGAATCTCCTGGTCGCTAAAACCAGGGTGGCTCCGATCAAGCAAGTGTCGCTACCAAGGTTAGAGCTCAACGCAGCGGCTCTACTATCAACACTGATGGAATCAACAATTCAAGCGCTCAGCCACCTCGAAGTGGATCCTTGGGCCTACACGGACAGCAGCATTGTGCTCCAATGGTTGTCCACTCATCCTCGCAAATGGAAGTCTTATGCAGCCAACCGTACATCTGCAATTCTAGAAGTGCTGCCGCGTGACCGCTGGAATCATGTGCGAAGCGGGAACAATCCTGCCGACTGTGCCTCACGAGATCTCACACCTAGTGAACTTGTGACGCACCCGCTCTGGTGGCATGGGCCAGGCGAACTGAAAACGGAAGCTGAGCACTGGAAGCAAGTACCTGTCGAAGCAACCGAAGATGAAGAGGTACTCGAGTCCCGTCGGTTGAATGTTCTACACGCCGCAGCGATGGCTATCCGAACCAACTACGACATCGAGAATGGTCTACTAGAACGACGATCCAACTACACCCTCATCGTGCGCACGCTGGCATATGTGAACCGATTCTTGTTGGCACTCAAGGCGGAGGACGCGAACCTCGAACCCGGACTTTCGCCGAACGAAATCTACGATGCCAAGGCGCAGTTAGCTCTAGCTGCACAGTACGCTTTATACAAGCTGTTGCAGAAGGGTAAGGATTTGCCAGCCAAACACAAACTGTCTGCCCTTCACCCCTTCCTGGATAGCCAAGGAACGATGCGAGTGGGAGGACGATTGCAGAATTCGTCTTACTCATACGACGTTAAGCACCCAATTATACTCCCGGGGAATAACAAGGTAACCGAATTGCTGTTGCGAGATCTTCATCTGCGAAACCTCCATGCAGGTCCCACACTGCTCACAGCTACAGTCAACCGACAATACTGGGTGCTCGGACTTCAGACGGCTGTCCGCTTAAAGGCCCAAACGCAATGTGGGCGGAAGCGGAACGGAAACGGAAAGTTTGACAGTTGTCACTAATGACATCAAGATGCCTAACCGAAGTCGATTTGATTTTAACTAGTTTTCAATCCGACAAGTAGGCTTACTCAGATCGGGCTTTTCCGCTGCCGTTGCCGTTCCGCTTCCGCCGTCATTGCGCTTGGGCCTTAACAGTTCAAGGATGCACGCGTTGCGTTCGACTCAATGGTAAGACGGCGTCGCAGCTCATGGGCAGCTTACCGGTGTCTCGGGTGATGGGCACTCGAGCATTCACCCATGTCGGCGTGGATTACGCCGGCCCTCTGAAGGTTCATGCGTCATGCGTTCGAGGTGTAAAGATGACCAAGGGCTATATCGTAGTATTCGTATGTATGGCGACCAAGGCGGTGCACTTGGAGGTCGCCAGTGACCTCTCGACCAACATGTTCATTTGTGCTCTGAAGCGATTTATTTCACGGAGGTCTCATCCTAACGAGATTTGGTCGGATTGTGGCACAAACTTCGTTGGGACCGACCGTTGGCTGAAGGAGATTCAAACTGCGCGACAGATCCACAACGATGCTGCTTGTCGATTTCTCACCAACTATGGAATTAAGTGGGTGTTCAATCCACCTTCAGCGCCACACCGTGGTGGTATCTGGGAGGCGGCAGTCAAGAGCGCCAAGAAGCACCTGATGGCAGTCGTGGGCTCCGGAGCAGCAACGTTTGAAGAACACTCAACGGTATTGGCGCAGGTGGAAGCGTGCCTGAACTCCCGCCAGCTATGTCCACTTTCATCAAATCCTGACAGCTACGAAGCACTGACCCCAGGACATTTCCTGTTCGGTCAGTCGATGAACCTCATCCCAGAGCCTGATGTCCGTCACATCCCATAAGTGGCAAGTGGCAACTTCTACACAAGCACATAACTGAAATCTGGCGTCGTTGGCGAGACGAATATCTTGCTAGTCTGCAACCGCGGAGCAAGTGGCGAACAACCGAGACTAAATAACCTGGAGAAGGATCAGCTTGTGCTGATCAAGAACGATAACGCGCCGCCGGCTCAGTGGAAGTTGACCCGTATCGTATGTGGGCGGACAGGGGGCAAAACACCGGTAAATGCAGTGAAAAACGGATATGTAACGCGGAATTAAAAACGTATGAATCGCGAGAACTGTTTAGAAACGTGTTTATTAATCAACGATCAAAGAAAGAACATTTTTGTTTGAACAAAATTAACTGCGATTCTTTTTCTCTGCATGTACATTCGTAAAGGGCGTATTCACGCTATTGCCGCTACACTGCAACACTCCTCCTCGTGAAGTAGCCCAGTCTCCTCATCCTCCGTGTTTCACTACTGGCGCCAAAGACATCGCTGCTGCAAACTTCCCGATCTTGATCGGTCCGAGAGGTTTGGTCAGAATGTCAGCGATCATCTCTTCAGACGGACAGAACCGAAGTTCTATCTCCCCCGACGTACATCTCTCCTTGGTGTAGTGGAAGCGAGTGTCGATATGTTTCGACCTGCGCTTCTGCTGATCGAGTGCTACGAAATCCATACATCCTTTGTTGTCCTCGTGGATAACGGTTGCATGAACTTGCTTCAAGTTTAGCTCACCCAACAATCGTCGCAGCCATACAGCTTGTTGCGTGGCCTCCTATAGCGCCACGTACTCCGCCTCCATGGTGGAAGTTGTTACGTTGCTCTGCTTACGGCTGGTCCAGCTGATAGTGGCTCCTCCTAGGCGAAACAAGTAACCGCTGCACGACTTGCGATCGCTCGTATCGCCGGCCCAATCGGCGTCGCAGAAACCTTCCAAAGTCTGCTCTTCGGCTTCAGTTCCTCCGCCAAGCTTCAGACCGTAATCCATTGTGTGAATCAAATACCGGACGATCCGTTTGGCCTCGTTCCAATCGAGCTTCGTCGGGCTGCTCACCTTCCGACTGAGAATTCCCACGCTAGCCGCAATATCCGGACGGGTATTCGATGCTAGATACAACAGTGATCCTATCAGCTTGTGGTACTGAATGTTGTCCTTGAGGTTTCGACTCTCTTTCATGACTTTGAAGTACCCAGGGTCGAGTGGATACTTCGAACCTTTTGCTCCTTCCATTCCGAATTGCTTCACCAGCTTCCTTATGAAAACACTTTGATCCAGAATGAAGAATCCATTGGCGTTCCTCGTGACGCGTATTCCGAGAAAACAGTGGATGTCTCCCAGCTTGGAAATGCTCAGCTTCTCTTGCAGCGAATCTTCGATCTTCGTGATCTCCTCCTGATGCGCACACGTAACCAAAATATCACGATCAAAAGATACAGCCAATCATCGCCGACAAGGCGTTTCCGGTACAAGCACGTGTCCGCCTTGCATTGTTCGAAACCCAAGCTAATTAAAATATCGGTAATTGTCATATGCCAAACCCTGGCCGCTTGTTTGAGGCCGTAAATACTTTTATGCAACCTACAAACCTGATGCTCTCTTCCTTTGACGACAAACCCTGGTGGCTGTCTCATGTAGATTTCTTCTCGCAACGTGCCGTATAAATAGGCCGTTTTAACGTCCAGATGTTTGACGATCCAGCCACGCTGGCCCGCGACAGCCAGAAGTACGCGGAAAGTACACTGCTGCGCCACTGGAGCGAAGATCTCGTCGTAATCTGAACCAAAACGCTGGGAAAATCCCTGAGCGACGAGTCTCGCTTTGAACCTGTCCACGTTGCCGTCAGAGTCAAGCTTCCGCTTGTAAACCCACTTGCTTCCTATGATGTTTCGTTTCTCTGGGGGGTCCACAAGCCCCCAAGTTTCGTTGGACATCAACGAACGATACTCCTCCGTCATCGCATTGATCCACTCCTGCTTATCGACACCGTTGACCGCTTCCTTGAAAGTCACCGGTTCATCCGGTTCCGTCGCTACCATTCCCATCACGTAGTCACTGAACCTCGCTGGCAACGCTCCACGGGATGAACGTGGCGGCATTTGTCTTGGCTCCGGTTGAGGAACATCTTCTTGCTCGGTATCACCTTCTTCGTAGTCGCTTTGTTCTTCACCGTAAAATTCTTCCTCGGCAGATTCGTACCCCAGGAAATCTTCTTCGTTATCTTCAGGATTGTTGACAACTTTCGGCTTCGGCAACGGGTCCAATTCAACCGTCGAATTCTCCGTTTCAGATTCCTGCTCGGGCTTTCCCGATGCCTGCTTCGCACCAAAATCTAGATCTTCCAAGAAACGAACGTCTCGGCTTATCGTTAATCTTCCGCTGTCCTTATCGAGAAAACGGTAAGCTCTCTGTTGATTGGAGTTTCCGACGAAAACCATCTTGCGGGCTTTTACCTCCATCTTCTTCCGCGTTTCCGCTGGAATCTGCACCCAGGCTTCACTTCCGAAGATTCGCAGATGTTCGAATGAAGGCTTACGACCGTACCATCGTTCGTAGGGACTCATACCAATCGATCGTGATGGCAATCGATTTTGAATATGGGTGGCGGTCAACACTGCCTCGCCCCAGTATTTCATCTCCAAGCCGGCTTCCAATAACATGCACATCGTCATTTCTTTGAGATAGCGATTCAGTCTCTCCGCCACCCCATTCTGCTGCGGGGAGTACGGAGCAGTCAACTGGCTGATTATCCCTTCGCTTCTCAGGAATCCCTGCAGTTCCTTCGCGACATATTCTCCGCCGCCGTCTGACTGCAGCACACGAGGAGTTTTCCCGACTTGAGTTTTGCAGAAACGAACGAAATCCTTCACCTTCTCAGCGACCTCCGATTTTCTCCGCAACAGGTACACGAAGGCCATGCGAGAATGATCGTCGATGAAGGTCAGGAAGTATTGATTGCCGCTGGGAGTAGCAACCAATAGACCACTGACGTCACTATGGATGACATCCAAAATCTCCTTCGAACCACGGTTGACAGCCTTTGGAAACGGGGTCCGGGACATTTTCCCCTCCAAACAGCACTGGCACACCGTTCGCACTCCACAATCGACCAACTTCATACCTTCAGCTGTGCCGTTCCTGTGGATTGCCTTGATCACGTCCGGGTCCCGATGGCCGAGCCGTCGGTGCCACGTATGCTGGCAGTTGAGCGTGTGGGACAGCTGGACGCTCACCATCGCTTGATTGGGAACCCGTAACTTGTAGAGACTACTGCAACGATTGGCCACAACCGCAATGTCAGCACCGGTTTTGCGGATCTCACAGCCGTTTTCACCAAACAGCACACAGAAGCAGTTATTTGCAAGGGTACTCACCGAAATCAATCCACTTGCTAATTTCGGAACATACAGCACGTCAGACAACACAATATCCACCGGACATCCGTCTACCTTCACTCCGGTAATCTTCCCGCTGCCTATGCCTTCGACGGCTGCCTTTTCACCGTTCGCCAGCATCACGCTCATTCCCTGCTGCTCCTGTAGAGATTCGAAGAAACTTCTTCTTCCCGTCATGTGCTTCGAGGCTCCGCTGTCCACAAACCAGCTTCCATGTTCTGCATTCCCAGCAATCCAAGCAAGCGGGCCGTCGAAAACGTTTTGCACCTGCTTCGCCTTTGTTGCGTCTTCCCTCTTCGGCTGGCTCGCTGTAGCTTCATCCTGCTTCTTCCCGGTGGCTTTCTGCAGACTCCGACAGTTTCGTTTCAGATGACCAGGTTTCTTGCAGTGGAAGCAAATCCGTGTCTCTTGACTTCCACTAGCACCGCCATCGCTCCGTTGCTGCCGACGAGGCTGGTGACGATATTCCACCTTCAGCGCTTTTCCTCCTGCAGCAGCAGCTGGTCCGGAACGTTCGCGTCGTTTCTCGGCTTCGGAAAGTAGTTTGGATTTAACTAATTCCAAAGTTAGCTCGGCACTAGGACGTTGCTCGAGAGCTGTCACTAAAGCATCGAACGAATCCGGCAATGAAAAAAGCAACATCGCCACCTTCAACTTGTCCGGGATTGGATCGCCGACATCCGCAATACGCTGCAACAGGTCGGTAAACTGCTGCAAGTGTTGCTCCATGTCTCCATCTTCGCTCAGCTCCAAATGCGTCAGCTTCTTGAGCAAGTACACCTCCGATCCCTTGTCGTGGTAATCCTTAAGGGCTTTCCATGCATCCTTGGCACTGGTACAGCTTCTCACAAAGCTAGTCTGGCTGTCATCTATGCACAGCCCAATCGTCGCGCGAGCCTTCAAATCCGCCTTGGTCCAATCATCGTCTTCCGTAATTACAGCCGGCCTTGGCTTACTGATGACGTGCCATAAATCCTCCCGAACCAACAACATTTCCATCCGAAATTTCCAGGATTGGTAGTTGTGGTTCGTAAGCTTCGGGAGCGGGAAACGCTGCTGGTCCGCCATCTTCCTTTCTCCTCATCCGCTCACGGGAACACCGCCTTCTGGCTACGGGAACTACCGGAAACTTTCGCGATTTTACGACCGAATTTCAACTAATCCGCGGAACTTTCACTGGGCCCATAACCTGTGGGCGGACAGGGGGCAAAACACCGGTAAATGCAGTGAAAAAACGGATATGTAACGCAGAATTAAAAACGTATAAATCGCGAGAACTGTTTAGAAACGTGTTTATTAATCAACGATCAAAGAAAGAACATTTTTGTTTGAACAAAATTAACTGCGATTCTTTTTCTCTGCATGTACATTCGTAAAGGGCGTATTCACGCTATTGCCGCTACACTGCAACATCGTAGAGCTGCACCCGGACTCGATGGGAGTCGTCCGGACGGTCACCTTGCGGCGTGGGCAAGCAGAGTACTCACGTCCCATCCAGAAGATTTGCGTTCTACCAACGGATTGAGGCAACAGTGCCTCAAGGCGGGGGTGGATGTTTCCGTGTAAATACAGCCCAGCCCTGTCGACCACACCTGCGTCGACGAACCCCTTGCGCAACTGTCAAACTGCCCGCCTCCTTCTATCGAAATCTTTCAGCAAAAGAATCGTTGTCATCATTTTGAAGTACTGTACAAAGCACCGAAGAGAACCGACGCAATAATAGCATAGAGGTAACTCTAAGACCACTGGGTCCCGAAGAAAATCATTATTATTTTTGGCTCACTCAGTACCAGAACAACCGTCCCATAAGCAGTCCCAAGCTATTTCACTCACCCCTGCATGTTCTGCATGAATCCACACACCCCTGATGTTATCTGTCAAACTTTCATAGCGAATCAAAACAAACATAGTGTAGTAATAGAATTTCAACTAGAATAGGGTACGTTAATCGTTTGCTTGGGACCAATCACATCTATGACACAAACGTCATTCCCATATACTTTGCGTGAAGCCGAAAAATCCTGGTTCTCTGGTTCGATCGAACCGGACGCGTTGGACGCGTTGCGCCAAAGTGACAGCTAAATCTATTGTCTAACTGTCAAATTTACATCAAAGCAACGCAAACGGATCTAATGTGGGTGGCCCTTAACAAAACTTTATATGGCGCTACAAAATTACGAGCAAATTTACTCATATTATTTTAAACTACTTAGTGAAATACAACAATAATTAATGATCAACTTCACCCCGTTTTACGGCACCTATCTACTTAGTAGATAGAAGGCAGAAGAGCATATAGCGATGTTTGAACCACCTCTCTCTCTCGAATCCATTTTCAACTCTTTCATTTTCTCTGAGAGGCAAATTTTGAGTCAATCTCGTCGATTCATTGATAGATAGAACGATAGAAGTTGGTAGTAAGCGTGGGTAGGATAGATTTAGCCTATAGGCCCTATATAGTTCTCGCTCTCACTCGCTGATGCACCCACTATCAGTCGCATTGCCGCGTTCAAATCAGCAGCAAGTCGAATAATATAATTCCGTGCTATATCTGTTCCTCCGACAGACTTCTGTCGCACCGCAGTTTTACATTGTCCGCAGTGGATGAGCGTTATCAGCAATTTTCTTGCTTATTCTGGATTTACCATGTGAAAGCAAACTTCAATTCAGGTCAAAATAAACACTTTTGGCGACGATGATTTCCAGCGCAGGTCATAGTCAACCGGAACTGAGTGGTTGGTAATTTGAAATATTGAATTAAACAGAAGTAGTGAGTGATCTTTATTTTTGTGTGCTATCGTAGATGCATCCGAACCGGACTATCGGGAACGAATCCCGAACGTGTACTCGGTTATGGTACCGCAGATGCGAACAATCTGCACCCCATCGACACTTCGGAGGCGTATCCATGTGCTCGAGTGGCTACCGAAGTATCGAGCCAGGTATTTGCTGTCGGACGTCATCGCCGGAGTCACGGTAACGCTGACGGCCATCCCCCAGAGCATAGCCTACGGGATTTTGGCGAATCTGACTCCTCAGGACGGAATCTACTCCAACTTGGTGGGATGTTTCATGTATTTTATGTTCGGCAGTGTCAAAGATGTGACGGTGGCGCCGACCTCGATCATGGCGATCATGATCCAAGGGGTGGTTACGAAGCTTGGCCCAGGAGCGGCCCTGTTGACACTGATGGCCGGTGCAATAACTTTCCTGTTCGGGCTGCTCAATTTGGGCTTTCTGGTGCGGTTCATATCGGTGCCGGTGATCACTGGTTTTACGACGGCAGCCTGTCTGACGATTGGTAGCGCTCAGCTGCGGTCGCTGTTCGGGATCAGTAGCGCCGGGAAGGGCAGCGATTTCATAGACGCATGGGAGAACGTGATCGAGCATATTGGCGAGACGAGACTGTGGGATGCAGTGCTAGGGTTCAGCTCGATCGCGTTTCTCGTCATTTTGAGGGTAGGTACCGATATGTTGCTTAGGGGTTGTGAATCGTTTCGCTAACAATGCCATTCATTTCAGCTAACCAAAGATTGCGGTCAAGGCCGGTGGAAGACATTATTTAAATACCTTGCATTGCTTCGCAATGCTATGATCGTCGTCATCGGTGCGTCGCTAGCCTACGGGTTCTCCCTCAACGGGGTACAACCGTTCAAATTGACCGGTCACGTGGAAGCAGGTCTTCCACCGTTTCACGTCCCCCCACTGTCGATCACTAACAACGGAACTTACTACTCCTTCTCGGATATGGTTTCTGTAATGCGAACCTCGATCATCACGATTCCCCTGGTCTCCATTCTGGAGATCATTTCCATTGGGAAGGCCTTCTCGAAGGACAAGATCGTCGATGCCACGCAGGAAATGCTTGCTCTCGGGATGTGCAATATGGCGGTTGCGTTCTTTTCGCCCCTGCCCGTAGCGGGATCATTCACGCGAACCGCGATCAACAACAGTAGCGGAGTTAAGACTTCACTGGGATGCGCCGTAACGACCGCCATGCTTCTGTTGGCATTGGCGGTCCTGACGGATGCGTTCTACTACATCCCCAAAGCCACGCTCGCTTCGGTCGTGATCTCGGCCATGATCTTCATGGTGGACTACCGAGGAATGGCTGAGATCTGGCGGGTCAAAAAGCTGGACATGGTACCGTTCCTAGGGACAGTGATTGCCTGCATCTTCCTCGGGTTGGATTACGGTATTCTGATTGGAATCGCGATCAACTGCTGTATCCTGCTGTACCTCATATCGGTACCCAAGATCGAAGTGCATATGGCTCTGGTTGAGGATGTGCGGGTGCTTACGGTGCAACCGGCCATGGATTTGACGTTCTCTTCGGCGGAATACCTTCGAGATCGAGTGATACGGGCGGTCGTTGAGGCGTTCGAAAATCCCATAGATCTGGTCGTTCTGGATGGGAGTACGGTGAACTTTGTCGATACGACCGTGGTGAAGAACCTGGCCAGCGTGGAGAACGACCTGCGCTCAAGAGAGGTGGGACTAGTGCTGTGGCGGTGGAGTAGGAACACTGCCGGTGGATTGGTACGACTGAAGGATGGATTCCGGGTTTTGCTGAGTGATGAAGCGGATCTACGGGATGCTGTGCATCAGTGGAGGGCATCCTCCGAGGGTTATCTGAAGGACGCATCTGAATAATAAACCTTGAATTGTGTCAAATTGGCATGATGTGTATCTTTATTACTCCCTCAGTAACAGCGAAGTGTGCGAAATAATGGACATGATAAGCTTCCATGTCAGAAGTTTTGAATGTACAAGTCAACCCTAGATAATGGAATAACAAAAAAAATGCACGTCATGCCCTTGAAGGTGCATAATTTACACACATCAGAAGGTATACTGGCAAAGATCGTGTCGTCAATGACTCGAAATAGTCACAATTCTTCTTATCCGCTTTGATTGAAGGGCTTTACTGCCGCTCTTCGCATGTCCGTCCCATAGCGAAAATAGGCAAGCCGAGAAAATCGCGTTTTAAGTTTGCTTCGTACCATTGCTTCATATGTGATGGGACAACCAATGTGACTGTCTTTCCAAACTTTTTCAGTACAAAGTTGATGAGTTCATCGAGTATTATGAAAATATGGGTAGTTTGCTACCATTTGCATTGAAAAACTCAGTTTTGACAAAAACGACTATGGGACCGACATGCGAAGAGCGGCAGTTTAATATAACGACCAATTTCTTCAGTCAGAAATGCCGTCATTACCCAGGTCAACTCCTGTGAAACGAGCTCTGGGTTTGTGTAGAAATTAACTCAGTTTGATTTGATTGCTTGCTTAGGGAAAATGGCGAGTGGCGGGTATCAAAATAAGTTCAGCATGTTGGGACGTTTGTTTTTGTTTAACCTGATCGCACTCGCAAAAAAACTTGAATTGGAACTGATGATTGATCGAGAATAATAAACCTAATAAACAAATTCACTATAATTTCAAACTTGGATAAGTGCCGAGACTGACCAGTCATTCTGCAAAGACCAAAGACCTACAAAGAAAAAAAACTTGGATTGTTTATTTCGCTCGCTATATTTACATTCATCATGATCAAAACAAATCAAAACTCCAAACTCACCACTGTGAAAAAATTCACCTCAACTTTGACAGTAATTGTCAGTCACTTACTCGAGGTGAAAATGGTGCTGATGTAGGTAGAAACATTAACGATTTAGGTGTAAACAATATCCGTCTAGGTACAGAAATTTTCTCAGATTTTTGTGAATTGTACAGTATTTCCGTTCGTTTTCCGCCCCGAACGAAGTGCTAAACCGAACCAACCATGGAAGCGGAGACACAGCAGCAGGAATCTGCTTCAGCAGGCGATTTTCATGACGACGTGTAAGTACTTTGCGTTTTGTTTACCTTCCGTCGTGTCCCCTCACAACGAAAACAACACTCCCTATTTCAGCCCCAACGACAACTCGGAGTCGTACTGTCGGCTGTGTCTCTCGGAGGAGAATGTCGTCGCACTGTTCCCGCCGGATGGAGGCTACATCCGGGAACTGACGGAGAAGATTCGCACCTGTGCGGGTGTCAAAATATCGATCCGAGATGACTATCCGGCCGGAATCTGTCAGTCATGTGTGGCTTTCCTGGACGAGGTGTACCAGTTCCAGAAGCGGAGCCAGCACTGCGACGAGGTCATCCGGACCAAGCGGAACATCCTGGAACCGCAGATTCACGTTAAGGTCGAAATGCGAGAGGACGATGGCAATGGACGCCCAGTTGGTGGGATAGAGGGTATAATGCCACAGGAGGATCGGGAACACGGGTACCCACCGGACGATTGCCTGACGGAGAGCAGTATTATAGCGGATGCCATAACCAGTTTGAACGGGATCGGAGATCTGATGGGGGCAATGGATCAAACGGTGTTTCCCAAGATGGAAGCATCGGTCGCGGCCAATGCAAACAAGGAACACCGCTGCATGGTTTGCAGCCAGGTGTTCCCAGATCGGGAATCGTGGATGATTCACCTGGGAGACCACGCCGAGGACCGACCCTATCAGTGTCTGGAGTGCTTCGCCCAGTTCCGGGAGAAGCGCTCTCTGGCCAGACACATGAAAGCCGTCCACGAGGAGGTGCGGGACCGGAAGTGTCCCTACTGCCCGAAGTCGTTCAAATACAGCCATCACCTGCGATATCACATCCGAACGCACACCGGCGAGCGGCCGTACGTTTGCGACATCTGCCAGGATAGTTTCTCGCAGCACATCCAGTGGAAACGGCACCAGGCCAAGCACCAGCAGCGTCCGGATCAGATCCAGGTGGCGCGGACCGGTATCGTCGCGGAGGATTCTTCGATCAAGTGCGAGTTCTGTCCGAGGGTTTTCTCCCGCCTACAGGACTACCGACGACACGCTCCGAGCCACAATGCGGAGAATCTTAATCTGGACAGCCTGGCCAAGCATCAGCTGGCCAACTTGCAGACGTTGCATCAACGTTAGGTTTAGGGCGAATTTTTCTTGACATAGCTGTTAGAAATAAAGCAATCCGAACGGTGTGTTGCATTGGTGATTCTTGCGAAAGAACTCCCTGAACGGAAATTAACCTTTCTGTTCACTGTCAACCTGTCAAAAATCAAACAATACGGCTAGCAAGAACAGAACTCCTATTCTGTGAGTCGTATGTCTCTTAGGCCTATTCCGCGAGTCTAGTGAGCTGATTCGCAGAATAGGGTTGATTGTATTCCAAAAGTAAGCAGAGGGAACTGTTGGGACACAGATGGCGGTAGTGTGTCAAACGGAAGGGAATAGACTATGAGCGCCACAGGTGGCGGTACCGCCAACTACGATACTTTTAAATTGTCCGTTAAATGCTTGTTCGATGTACAACTTGCGAGTGTTAAGTCTGTTTGTCTGTGGTTGTGATATTTGAAATAAAACTCAAACAGTATCTTTACGCATATTTATTTAAAAATAAAATCAGTTCGTCAGTTCTCTTCACGCTGCCTACTTCCGCTGGTGCGCGCTCATCATCTCCAGCATGTTTGCGTTCAGCTCGTCCAGATTCATCCGTTGCTTGATGTAGGCCACTTTCTCCCCGTGCACTTGCATCATATGTTTGGCGCATTCGAACTGAAATAGGAACGAATTCTCGCACTGCCAGCATTTCCAGCTTTCCTGCTCCGGTAGATCCAGTGAGCCTTCTTCCGCTTCCATGAGTAGCCCTGTTTCCGGTACGGGTTCCTTCTTCAATTCCGTTTCCATCTTCGGTGCCGGCATCTTTATCAACGCAATGGTCGGTATCTTTGCTGGGAGCGGTACAGCCGGGGGAATCTTCAGCGCCGGTTCTCCACAACCTTCCAGCGGATCTTCCGGTTCCGTTTTGATCAGAACCGATGGTTCGATGGTAATTTCTGGCTGCATCATCGGCAACTGTACTTTCGGAGCAATCTTGCGATATTGTGATACGAGTGGCAAAGGGGCTGGAACCTTTCGAACTGCCGGAGTAACCGGCAGACGTTTCCTGGTAAGCGGAGTAACTGGTGGCGCTGTTTTACGGACCTTGACAGCCACCGTGGCCACAGGTATCTTTCGCGCCGTGAACCGCTGCAAAGCACGATTGTTGCTGCAAACCTGCTGTCGATAGCTGTGGAAACTGTTGATCAGCTGTGCGCACGGCGTACAGATGAAGATCGACTCCTTCGGCCGCGGGATGATCAGTATCCCGGTACAAACGTAGATCTTGTCCAGCATCTCGTCGCGAACCACAATCATCCCGGAACAGAGCGGTTCCAGCTGATCCGTGCTGAAACACAGCCGGCACGAGTCCTGGTTGACTTCGGCGGGAACCGGAGACGCTACCGGTTGCGGTCCCCTGTCCTCGGTTTGAGTGGACTTGTTTGGCGTGATGGCTTTCTCCATAGCCTTCGCCGAACGTTCCTTTCGGCAGCTGTTGCAGAGGCAGAACTGGCCGTGTTTGCTGGGGATTTTCCTCTTGAGGGGTGCAGGTTGGTCCTCTTTTCGAATTTTATTAGCTACTTGCCGCAGATCCAGGTCCAGATCGTCGTCATCGTCGTCGTCGTCGTCCATTAGGAAGTCGAAGAACCGGTCACTGGCGCGCTTGAATGAGAGAAGATGGAGCGTGAACGTACTGAGATGGACTTTCACGAGATCAGACGCGAAGAAAGACTTCTTGGGATATTCACCGACAAACCAACATGAAACTTATACTTAAATTTTGCTCGAAAATCTATAACGGCTGATTCAAATGTGCAGCGGTTCGATCTGTCAAAACCATAGGATTTTTTTTATCTACACTGAACGAAAACATCCACAATACTTCGAATGATTATTGCATTGCTCGAGCCCTCTAACAATATGCTTTTGAATTTCGGATAATTTCCTTATGGTTGAATTCGTCATCAGCTGAGGAGCATCCATATATGACTGTCATCCAAATAAATGATGGCTTTTTGTACGAACGCTTGTATGAACAAGTTTTTCGTTTCGAGATGCGCAATGTGGCCCCAGAAGTACACATGAAATTTATGAGTCAAATGAATAGTATGTGTGGCTACACATGCATTATATGTGTACACATAAAAACTATGTGTCCGACACATAGAGGGAATGGCTATAATGTTGGCCTATGAATTGGGCCCATCGAAAAAAAAACGGCTATTTATCAATTTTATCTAGATGAACGCGTCATTGGGACGGTACAAATGGATATTATTTTTTGGTCGCTATTGAAAATTTAGTCGATTGCTGAATATGTATGGACCCAAATTAGGGGCATTTAGGCCGACATTACATCCATTTCCCCTATATCATTTGTTTATCACATTGCAAAAAATCATGTGTGGGAATAGAAGAACTACTATGAAAGTTAGTGATGATGTGCAATCTTAAAATGCTTTTATTTTGCAAATGCAGCATTTTGACAGTGAGCCTGAATAAGGGCGTGTATATGCGATGATCGGTTTTCTCTTTGCATTGCTACAGCTAAGTGAAACAATTTTCTAGAATTTGTTCAATGCAGAGTTGTAACAGGTTGTATTTGCTATCAAAAGCAACAGCAAACGCACCGAGAAACGTCAACTCTAGCGAGTTATTAACAAAAGAGAAAATCGACGAAGAGAATCGATCATCGTGTTTACGCCCTTATGCATGCTCACTGTCGATTTTCACCTATCCTATCATTGTTAATCAATTCTCTTCA